CCGCCCCCATGTCCTCTGGACAGCCCCGCTCCCCCCAACCTCCTCCCGCTCAACCCCACTCCCCTCCCGGCCAGTCCCCCCTGACATCTGAGATCAAGTGTGTCCAGTATTTTTTTGAAATCATCTGGTAACCCTACCCTCACCTGCACTCACTGGTAGCACCGTGGCGGTGAAAGTGTAGCAAGGTGGCCCCAGTTTGCACTGCTTCGGGGGAGCACAACCGTGAAGAGGCTGCATTACTGCGCTTTCCCTGTTATAGTGCTGCTGGTGAGTACAGGGGCAGGTGCGGACCCCTGCTACCGGCTCTAGCCCTCCAGCCTCACTAGTCTTCCCACCGGCTGCTGGCCAGTGCTTCCTGCCTTGCGGGCATGTGACCCCTCATCCCTTACCCCTCCCTACCCCAGTTGCCACTGCAGCCAAGAACTCCCAATCCTAAAAGGGGCAGGGTGGCCACTGTGAAATTCTCTGTGGGAGCAATGAATGTCGTTCTGGTCTTCAGGAGGTTCTTCCTTTGCTAACAGGACCAAAAAGAAGCAAACGAAAGACAAAACAAAGTTTGCAATTATTTTCTAAGAGGATGAGGTGTGGTGAAAACCTAGTGAAAGAGCTAAAATAATCTAAACATTTTAAAATACATACATATCAGGCAAATAGAGCCCACTTTCATATTTAAAAACCTCATTTATTTACACAGTGTACAAAATTTACAACATTTAAAACTCAGATATTTAAAAAAGAATGCATGTTATCCAGAGCTCAAAAATAAATATGTTGAATCTCCATATTTATATGCTATTAAAATATCATATGCCACAGGCTGGCTGGTTCACTGGGAGTTTGGAGAAAGAAGAGAATTATGCAGATTCTCAGTAAACATTGTTTTCAGATAATTTAAACTTAAAATGCTATTATAAATACATGTATTGTCCACACTGCACATTTCCAGTAACACTGACTTGTGCTGGCCAACCCCACTCTTATCTATATATAAACAGAACTGGTGGCAACTTCATTTGACAGTTCCAGCTTCTCCTTGTAAGGACAAGACTGTGCTCCTTGCACACCTGCAAGTGCAGTGATGGGGATTGGGTTAGAGGAGCTGGAGCTACAAGACAGAAATAGCCTGACTCACGCTATCTAGGCAATAATGAAGCCATCAGAATAATATGGGTTAGTGTTGGAGAATATGATTAGCTGTATCTGTTACTCATCTTTCCAAAGCATGTACCTAACACAGCCTTGTAACTGCTCTGGCTGGAGAGCATTACGTGGTTCACAAGCCATGTCTCTCAGCCTAGCACTCCCTTGATATGAGATCTGCAAAGTGGCTGAGCTGCATGTGCCACTGGGAAGAGGCTCCCAGGGCCCACTTGCATATGCAGGTAGAAGTACCATGCCATCTTTACTTCTGCACTGGTGCTGGTGTTTGCAGAGTTGGAATCCCAGCCAGCAGCAGCTGCTCCCCAGCTGCCCAACTCTGAAGGCAGCACTGCCACCAGCAATGGTTCAGAAGTAAGGGTAGCAGTACCATCCCCCCCTATAACAGACCTGAGAAACCCCTCAATAACCTCTTTTTGAGTGAGTACCCCATCAATTATAGCACTGACTTTTCAAACTTAAATAGCTGAAATCATGAAATATAGGATTTTTAAAATAATACGACTGTGAAATTGACCAAAATGGACTATGAATTTGATAGGGTCATACTTATGTCTGTACCTGCACAGACACACTTGACTTTGACCATGTGTCATTTAACTGTACAAAAAGCAAATACAAAGCCTTTTATTCAATGCTATTACTAATAAAATAGAATCCTTCCCCAGTAAAAAAAGGTTAGCCACTATCACAGCATAGTCAAGGGGGCTCTATTTATCTAGCTTATCAAAAATGTTGATTATATTTAGTGAGGCTTCAGCAGTAACCTAAAAATATAACCCTGCTAATCAACCATTGAAAACAAAGTCTACAGAATAAAGTATTAAATATAGAGATACTCCCTACCTATAAAAACACTAACCTTGCAATCTCAGTAGCCAACCTATACAGCCCTAATTCCAATGAGAGTTGAGAATGCAAAGCAGTTTACAGGACTGGGCCTTAACAGCCTCAGAAAATCTACTCAAGAGGGGACCAATTTGTGTAAATGAGGGCCACACCATTAAATAGCCAGGAGCATGCCTCCACTGCATTAAAATAGCAGATTACAACCACCCTTGTAATTAATGCCAGGAATGGGAGAGATGGTCGCTGGAATTAGAGATCCACATATTTTACTCTACCATAAAAATGATGCAATTGGATGGAAACTCTGAAATTCCATGGCTTTTGATCAAAAACCATGACCATTTGTGAATGAAAATTGGCCAACTATGACTCAATTTTATTTGTAAGTAAAAATACATTTAAAAAAAATAAAGCTCAATTTTCACACTGAAAAATGTCTAAAAATATCTGAATTTTCACAAAAAAGTGTGGGGCCTAAAGAAGGAGAGTTCAGCAGAATAGTGAGGTTTGCAAATTTTCCCATAACAAAACTTCTCATATAATCCTAATAGTACAGATGTGTAGCGCAAAAGAATCTATTGGTCACTACAACTAAGACAAAAGCTTTGTTCACTGGGATCAGTAATGTTTAGCCATTACTGACATTTCAAAGAAAATCTACTGAGTTAGTGTTTGTTGACAATTTTATGCCCTCAGAAAGCACTTTCTTCTCAAATATTTCTTTTTTAAAGAGATCACTTGTATTCCAGCAATATTTCCTCCCTCTATAAAATACATTTTATCACATAATCCTTAGAGCATAAACCTGTATTATAATTTGATAAAGTGCAAATTATCAGTTGATTCTTGCTAACCCAAAATAATTCAAAATGTATCATTACATGGTTGTACAATCTATCAAAGTTCCACCCAGAGTTTGGTTTTTTTTATAAGTTTTAAGTAAAATTAGTGATGGAAACCTTAATTTACTATTGACCTTATAAAGCAAGTTAATCTTTTTTCAACACAGGTGCAAAATATTATAAATTATCATAGTATATATTACAGTTTTTCCCAATCTTAAAACAACTACCCTATTAGGATGAATTGGTTTTAAGAATGTTTTTTTTTTTTTAAACAATACATTACACTCTAAACATACCATACAAAAATAAATATTGTATAAATGATTTACATGTGATATACACAACAATTGGTGCAAAAAATATAGCTAAGACTAGTAAAAGATTCACTCTATATTCTGGTAGTGAACAGAAATAAATGATGTTTTCTTAGCCTTTCAGCATATAATCATGCACTACGATGTGTTTTTTGTCATGTAGCTATTCAAATAGTATTTTTATTACCGTTTATACACTTTGACATATACTCCAATTTAAAGATCTCAGGTGTAGTCCAGCAGTTTTTTGGTATATATAATTGTCACTGAAGTCAACAGGAATTTGGAGAGTGGGAACATTGCTGCATCAGTCCTTAATTTTGTAGGATAGGTCGAACCTCTCTAAACTGGGACTCTGGTCCAGCAACAGCTTACAAGTCTAAGGGTATGTCTACACTAGCCCCCTAGTTTGAACTAGGGAGGCTAATGTAGGCATTTGAAGTTGCAAATCAAGCCCGGGATTTAAATATCCCACGCTTGATTTGCATCTTCCCGGCGGGGTGCCATTTTTGAAATTTAGAAGTCCGGACTAACTGCCCGCGTCTACATGCGGCATTATGTTAAACCTCATTCCCGGAGGAATAACAGCTAGTTTGATTTAGGGCTTTATTTCAAACTACCGGGTCCCTGCCGCATGTAGACGCGGGCAGTTAGTCCGGACTTCTAAATTTCAAAAATGGCGACCGGCCGAGAAGATTGAAATCAAGCCCGGGATATTTAAATCCCGGGCTTGATTTGCAACTTCAAATGCCTAAATTAGCCTCCCTAGTTCGAACTAGGGGGCTAGTGTAGACATACCCTAAGGTCTTTAGAATATCTGAGGTTTGATTTACAAAATGGGGTATGATGTCATTCTCTACAGAATGGAGGAGTTTTGATAAATAGTAACAGCATGCTCAGCATCATATCCAAACATTTTCAAGTCAGATGTAGAGGTTTCTTCCCCCACCAAGGTTCTCATGCAGAAAAAAAATATTTTCACTATTGACGGACTGCTTCATAAAAGGTATCTGTGAACAGCTGAAACTTGTTCAATCTTGCATTGGACCAGTTCTCCTCCAATGATACTCTTTTATACTGGTAGAACGCCATTGACCTCATTTATATCATGTAAGTGAGAAAAGCAGCAAACCCATTGGAAGTTTGTAGTGTGTAAAAAAAAAATGGCAGGGCAGGCATCTAAAGTGGAAAGGTTAGATTAGCTATTGTGAGGTTTCCAAACCAATCAGGAAAGTGCTAATGAGTGATATGATAATCAAATTATTCTGTTTCACATCAGTAAATAAATACCCCTCATGAGAGAGCTTCAAATAAGCAAATTATATGATTCCATAGCTGCATTTTTTTAAAACAAATATTACCACTTCATAGAGGATGAATTTCAAGGATATTCCATGTAGTAGTATATATGGGTGACCCACTAGCTTTGAAGAGATTTCAGATGTATTTCTATTCAAAAGAAAAAGTGAAAACAACTGGGATTTTTCTTCCCTTCAGGAGACTACACTTCAACAATATTTAGGTGCAGTGACAACCAAAATCAGCAAAAAATAATTAAGAAGAAATGAAATTTTGGGAATGTAACTGAAATATCATGATTTTGAAAATACATTAAGATAACATCACATATTGACACTAAAGTTTTCATCCCATTATGCTTTTCCAATAACATGAATGGCATCACTATGAAGTGAATACCAACAGGAGACATGATGTTATTATAGATATATGTTGGGAAAGTCTTTTTGTCTGATTTATAGGGGACGTTGTTGCAAATATTGCATCAGTTGCATTTCTGGGTAATGGCAAGTTGCAGATATTTCCTTCACAGCAGGAAGTACAGATCTGAAAGAAAATTAAAAAATCTCGTTCCGTAACTAGGTTATTCCACTTTTGAAGATACTCAATATCTCAGTATAATTAATGAGTGGATTTATCATGGTATTGCCAAACCACCACATTGGTCATTCGGCTTGTATGTTATACCCCGCCCCCAACTCCTTGTCTGTCCATGTACATTGTGAGCTCTTAGGTTTGGGGTCTGCCTGGCACAATGATGTCGCAATCTCTGGAGGGGCTCCTAGGGATTACTAGTATACAAATAACAGTATGGTTACACAGTCACCCCTCCTTATTCTGAAAAGGCCTGGAGATGCTGAATTTGTCTGGGCTGGTATTAAGAATAGCAAATTTGGAGTCTGACACAAAATGGTGTGGTCATGAGAGCTATCTAGGACAGGTGCATGGACTGGACAGCGACGTCTGGCATTGGGAAGGCTGTAGCATTCAGTTTGAAACAAAATACCCTTTGCTCAGATCAGGTCATTTAATACTCCTGTTTTGACTATATACTTACAGAAGAGTCCATGCAATATGTAGCATAACTTTCAGAAAATAATCATGTATTTATCTAGGCCTTTCTAGGTGCCCATCACCTGTTATCTAGGGCTAATATAATACTGGAGAATTAAATACACCAAGGTACATGTTCTATGTAGACAGCTGATTGTGAACAAATACTATTCAAAGGCCTGAATTCTGAATTACATTAAGACCCCTTTACATTATTCTTACATCATTCACAAAGGAAGCAGAGAATTTCTTCCTGGGGCTACTGCCCGATGCATCAATATTTTATGTCATTTGGGAAAACGTATCCAGTCAATACTAACACGCTCATCTACCTCTCCCCCTGCCCTTTGGGCACTGGAGGGATGAGTTCTTAGTCACCAGCATGTCAGCATGGTTCCTGAAGAAACTGTAATGGTATGGACCAAAAGAAAGGCGGGAGGCCAGAAACAAGTCAGATGGAACATGGTTTCCACACTGGTGGCCCAAGCCCCTGTGAATAGTAGGAGAGCTGCTTGTTTGTCCCTGCTTCTTTTGTCCCTCACCATCACATAATAATGTACAGGAGAACTTCACAGAGCTTCATGTGACCTCAGGCAGGAAGCAACGCTATAGCTGTAAATGGGCTAGACTACCACAGGAAACAAGAATTTGAATAGGAATATACTACTGGGACCTAACTGTGTCAGGAGTTTGAAATCTGATTCCCCTGCCCCCAATAAGACAGCTTTTTAAAATAACCCATTACTGATCAAATTAGAGGATGCAGTTCAAGCATGGAATGTCTGTTCCAAATATTTTATCCAGTGTAGCATAAAGAAGTCACCACATGATTATAGATTGGTGGGTACCCTGACTATGCCTTACATTGGTGGAGTCACAAACAAACAAAAAAACAACCCATCACTTCACAAGAGTATGTCCCCACTCATTAAAAAGCACAGGGCTGGAAAAAGCATAATTGTATACTCAACATTGGTTTTGCGTTCATTAGAATGGTTCTCTTCCCTGTGGCACCAGTGGATCTTTACCATATCATCAAAAATGTCTAGCCATCTCTGTCTTTCATCATGCAGATCCATGATTTTAAATCCTTCATAGGGTGAGAAGATGTTGCTTTTTCTTGTGTTCATTTTTTTTTTTTGCACCTTTCAATCTGTGTATTTACTTACTGCTCCAAATCTTTTCTCGGTTATTATCACTTTTTACTCAGGCTAAGTTTCTTTTGACTTTACAGGGAGTTTTGTCACAGAGTAAAACTGGATTAAGGACTTCAGGGCTTGCTCCTATATTTGTAAAGGCAATGTTTATAGATCTTGCCTAGCTCTGCAGAATTCATGCAAATTATATGCACTCATTATTTAACACAGACCAAAATTCACTCAAATCACTAACTTCAGTGGGAGCAGGAGTTAACCCATAATCCTCTTTACCTCATAGTTCAATGGACACTTTTGTTTTAAAGAACGAAGCAACACAAACATAGCAAAGGACATGAATGTTACAATCCTGGGAATATTGTTCCACCTGTTATAGGTGTCAGACTTCTGGCTGACAGCAAAAGATTTCTGTACAGGTTGTACCAAAGCAGATTGTTTGTGCTTCTAACCTTGTATCCTTCATATTTTGAATCTATGCATCCAGTAGACAAACAGTCCTCTAGTGGCACACAGCGCTTGGTGACAGATATACTTTCTCCATTGGCTGCCAGTGTGTGTTGAGTGTAGCAGTATCTTGTCCCTAGAGAGAGAAAAAGAATTTTGGGTTTTGGCCAAATTCCATTTATAACTCAGACTTCATGGAGCTGCTCTGATCACATTCTGAAAATATGGACACAATCACTGAGTAAAGAAAATCATGGCAAAGATTAAAAAAAAAAAAAAAAGGAAGAAATATATCAAATTCCTATCCCAAATCAAATGGTAAATATATGAACACTAGTGTTGTAAGCTCTTATAAAGAGCCTCAGATCTCAAATCTCTGAAATTTTTCTAAGTTTTGATTCCTATCATGGATGAACTAAAGAGACCTCCAGACTTTGAATACCCCAATATGTATCCAAGTTGGGAAAAAAAAATCAATAGTTCAGGACTATCCCTAGTTTATAGCCCTGCTAACTAACAAAACTTGTTAAATTCACACCAATTGCAGGAATTCACCACATACATTTTATCCCTGGTGATGATATTTTATACTCCTTAATCAAAGTGGATTATCTGCCAGTAACTTGGTATAGAGGCTTTTCTTCCTCAGAACTCAAGTCACTGCAAATAGGAGTCATCCTTCCCATAGTCCATATTCTAGACAAATAATTTGAATGCCTGCTTTCTGTTACTGGCTCTGCCACTGGTTAGCTGTATACCCTTGGGCAAGTTCCTATACCTCCATTTCCCTCACCTATGAATTGGCGATTAAAGCACTTCCCTAGTTGTGAAGATTAACTAGCTCAATGTTTCCCTAACTTTAGAAAGCTAAGCCCCCTTGCCAAGGACATGCTTCACTATTCCTACAGGTAGAGGACAGAGGGGAGGGTTAAACACCTTCACATCTTAAAGATGTATCCATCTGCAGCACCGTCCTTTCTCCTAGCCAGTCCTTTACACCCAGCTCCCCAAGGTTTATGCTACATAGCAAGGCAAAAGTTGAATTAAGCTATTCAACTTCAGCTAAGTCAAATGCATAGCTGAAGTTGAAATAGCCATATTTTCAAAATAATGTCAACATGGAGGACTTCTTACTCTGATTCCACTCTTCCTTCGACTTCCTATTGTGTAAACAGTGCCAAAAGCCAAATTAAGCTTTCTGTGCAGATGCACATTTTGTTATTCTGAAATAACGCTGTGTAGACATACCCCCAGGAAGTTGTGCCCCACACGTTAGTAAATGTTTCCTCAATTTTATGCTCTGCTTGGTAAGTGGAGATGGAGAAAAATGTCTAATTAAATTAAAGTGGATGCTCTTCTGCAACGGTTATCTTTAACTGGAAATGAGTCTTACAAACTTTTCACTTTTTAGGCATTCATCAACTACAAAAAAAAGCATTATTGAACTAACGTGTTATTAATTAACATGGGCAATAAAAACACCAGATGTTTGTCAAAAGTTTGGCCAGCTCTGAACATGAGTGGTGATACCCAGCCATGACAAACAGACTTGAACACTTCAGACATCTCATGGTGATGTAAAGAATGCCTTTGCTTAAATTTACAGTCCCTACAAATGCAAGACTTTTAATACATTTTCCAGATCCTATCTTACTAAGAGGTCAGAGCTTAATTTTAACAGATGTGGAGAGCGCTCTACTCCAATTGAAAGTGACTGGACTGGAAAGAGACTCAGGCCCAGATCCTCATGCATTCACACCTAAATCTTATTGAAATCAATGGGAGTTCAATGCCATTTCGTACCTTTAAGGATCTTGGACTCAGCGCTTCACAGGATTGGACCACTAGAGTAGAATCCATCACCAATAAAGTGACAGAATAAGCCCTATCCATGTACAATTTAAGCTTCACATAAACCTTATCAGTTGCACAGAGCCTGTGCTGCCCCCCCTCTGCACAGGAATGAAGTTCACCTTTCACATATATCAGCTGAAACCCCTTAATCTCATGTTTCTAGCAGATACCATATATAGTGCTCCCAATGGATCTCTTAATGGGGGTTTCATTGTGTTTCACAGAATTACTTGGGGCTGAAGAAGTTCGATAAGTGACAATATTTTACATTTTTTTGTTGGATAACATTCTAGGCAATAGCCAGTGAGTTACATGCATTTTTAGGTCATGTGAGACCTACCCTCCTCTCTTTCACAGGTCAGGAGCATCCCCTACAAGGCCTGATAGCCTGCTGAAAATCAGTTGGAGTTCAGGGGTTCTGTGGCTTGCAGAATTGGCTCCTTCGTAAGCAACAACTTGTGTTTCAGTATTTCAAGATACTGAAGATCAGATCCTTCAAAGCATTTAGGCACCTAACTCCCATTAAAATCAATGGAAGTTAGGTGCCTATGCCTTTGAGGATCTGGGCAAGAGTGACAGCTGAGAACACTTGGCACTTCCCAAGAGATGCTCAGAACCTTGCAAGACTTTCTTAGGGGGAATCACTGCATTGCTTTCATTCACCAGCTTCCATCTGAACTTCCATTTCAAGGGGCGGCAGTAAAGTAATTTTCTTTTTGCATTCTAGCCCAGTGGTTCCCAACCTTTTCAAGCATACAAACCCCTTTTCAATCTATTAACATTTCACGGAACCCCTCCCTCGGGAAGAGACAAAAAGAAAAGAAAAAGTAAGGATTGGGCCTACCACGGACTTTTAAACTTTCCATTGACCCCCTGGGGTATCATCACAGGCCACCAGGGGCCACATGCACACGCTGGGATGCAGCTTACTTTTGATCCCGTTCTCTGGATGCTAAGGGAGCACGGGGAAAGTACTTGCATGCCTCTCACACTTGGCTGATGTACGAGAGGCATGCACGGCATACAAGCACTTCCCCCTCGCTCCCTTACCATTCGGGGAATGAGATCAAAAGTAATTAAGCCATGTCCCAGAGCACAGGGGGACATCAGCCAGGTGTGAGGGGCATGCACAGCACTTGCATGTCATAGCAGGCACAGCTGAAGGGGTGGGGAAAAGAAGAAAAGGAAAAGAAAGGATCCTATCCTTACTTTTACATTTCTGCAGACCCCCTGCAGTGCCCCCAGGGGTCCACAGACCACAGGTTGGGAACCATTGTTCTAGCTTTTTGTTATAGATTGCCTGCTTTCCCAAGCAGGATAAGTGCAGTCATCACAGCTGATACGATAAATGCATATCTTGGGTTTATATAGACAAGAGGCAACCCTTCTGATGAAGGTAAAAGTGGAATAGAAAAAAAAAAATCTACATTACAGTTAATTACATGGGGAGGAGAGAGCTTGGTATGCTGAAGCTGATAGTGTCACAAGTAAGCAAATGCGCTAATTGGCCTGTGTGCTACATAAAGTTAAACCAAAGCATTGAAAAATACACAATGAAATTAATGTCCTTTATCTTTGCATCATCTCTTGATTGCAAAGGTATCCAAAATCATATGGAAATTGTTACATAACCAAGATCAAAACACACACCTCCTTTTCTTCAGATATGTGGCTTAGTTATAAGATCATCCCTGACCCCAGGAGGAAAGTATCAGATAAATTTATTACAAATTTTAAATTGTTCAACAATATTTTTTTTAAAAAATGTGATTTTTAAATTAAAATGGTCTCTTTACAATTTCAATTACTGAAGATGGAGATAGTAGAGCCACTTATAGTTATGGGTCCCAACCACTTTTCATGACAAGACCCCGTTTTCAGTGACTTATAATTTTGCCTACTTAAATAATTTAGGCTACAATTTCTGAACCTAAATGTTTGCCTCAGACAGGTGGTTTTGTTTGTTTGTTTTGTTTTTGATGTTTCACAAATGATGGTCCAGCCTCAATCATTTCCGAGAATTACGATTAGGGAAAGTATGTGTCTTTGTCCATGTTAAAAGAACGTCTTTCAATCATTCTGTCAGCAGGCTCTGGCACCTCTATGCTGTGCCATTTGCCATAGCCATGAAAATTCACCTAAATTTGATCAAGTTATCCTCTGGAAAATCTCAGTTTGCACATGCTCAGTAGATACTTGTTAGCATTTGATAGCAAGTTCTCCAAAGGTTCTATCTCCACTGAGAAGGCTCAGTCACTTTGCAGCTAGCTCTGCGCAACTAGAATGCACATGTCTATCCCCACGCAGAGACTGAGCACCCTGGAGTCTCGTGTGCTGTGCAAACATTTCCTTCCAATTGCTCCTCCCAACTGCTAAGAGCTGTGGTGGCGATGGCGATGGGGAAGTATCTTGGGAGAGAGGGAAAGGACCTAAGTGGGGATGGGCTAGGAGAAGAGAGGGGCAGAGGGACAAGAGCCAGAACAAATAGGAGTTGAACAGGCCTAGAAGAGAAGGGGTAGGGGAAACAGGTGGGGCATTGGAGGGGCATTGCATGGGAACAGAAGAAGGAGCAGGAACTGGGACTTTAGTGTGTTGGCCTCGGTCTACACTATTCCAGGCAGGTCAGGTTAATGTATGCCATCCAGTGACAAAATGCATAGCTGGAATCAGCTTAACTTAAGCCGAGCCACCACAGCATCTACACTGAAGCTGATGGGAGCACATACTCCCATCAGCTTCCTTTATTCCTCACAGATTGAGGAGTACAGGATCCTGGGAGGGAGGGGCATTCAGTTTGGGCATCTACACTAGACCCACTAAAGGCAACACTAGAAGATCGACCTACGGAGGGTTGATCTTCTCCATAGTGTAAACAAGCCCTTGGACAGTAGCAGAAGAGGAGGGAAGTAGGAGCTTTAGAAGGTTGGATAGGAGCAGGGGACACCAAACTGCAAGTCAACCTTAATATGACATTTCTTAACTTTCCAGTGCATGACTTTCAATTTTACCATGCTTCCAATACACGTTTTTAACTGTAATATGTATATACAGTGTGACAGTCATACCCATGATGCTGCTTCAGAGGACACCTATCAACTTAACAATTTGATTCAGTTGTCAGGTTCTGCTCAGTATTCATTCAGGAACTGAAGTCAGGAATACTTCACGTGCAGGGTCATAACAGAACTGGATAACTAATGGACTGTGCTTGAGATGGGCCTTTCCCGAAAGGAGGACTGGTTAATGTACAATGGCAAATGCTGTCAGTCACTCATATTCATT